TGTCACTCCTTCTCGCCTCACATTGGGCCATTGAAGTAATTTGACGACTTTTTCTCTCAAAAAAAAAATGGAACAGTTACGACAACGATGACGAGATTTTTGATGCTTTTCTGTTTTTAGCTTTAATGGAAATAGTTATTTGAGTCCTATGGAACCTTCTACTGCTTGTTGGAGGGGCTACAGGGCGCTCCACATAGGGCGGGATAAGTCATTGGGTGATTTCTTCCCTCAAATAAAAGCTCTTGTCTAGTAGTGGATTTCATGACTACGCGACCTTTTTTGTCTGAACCTCTTTTCTGGCACAGATTAAAAACGTGACAGAATAACGTACACTCGTAGTCAAAACATATACATGTTTTTCTCGGAACCTATCAGTGTGGGCGATGAAAACGCGACTGCAATAATTCTGTTTTATCATTTACTCATATTTTGAATTTAGAATGCATGAATACTGCGTGCTTTTGTTGAGTAAATAATTTCATTAGTAGCTGTTTCGTTTGTTTTGTACAGTTGTTAATAATAATATTGTATTCCTGTTTTCATTAGGTTTTTCATTTAAAATTCTTAAGAGCTCGTTCAAAATTTCTGTAAAATATGAAATTCATTTTTTTAATTATTATAATATGTCACATAAGTATATTCAAAATGCAAGCGCGATAATGTATTACAGTCCTGGCCTGGAGAAGGAGTAGAGACGGTGTGGTTTTAAGTCAGTAAGAGTCTGACACTCCCTCTTGCCCCACACAGAGCGGTAGAAGCCATTCGATTACTTTTCTCCCTCAAAAAATAATGTGAAGAGTTTTGGTTGTAATAGATTTTATTGGTAAGCATAAGAAACTAGAAACTAAAAAAAAACTTTTTTATGTGATAGGTCGGCAAACGAGCAAACGGATTACCTGATGGTAGGCAATCAGCCTTGCCAGTGGACACTCGCAACGACGGAGGAGTTACAAGTGCGTTGCCGACTTTTTGGAGAGTAGGGATTTAGAGTTTTTGTAAAAGGGAACAGATTGGGGTAGGGGAAGGATTGGGCCTCCGGTAACATCACTCACACGGCGAAACACAACTCTGTGGATATTTCACGCTGGTATTCTGTGAGGCCGAACCACTGAACCTAAGAATAAAATAAAAATAAAGTTAAGAAATCGTATTTCGTGATAAGACTGCCCATTATAAGTTATAGCTCAAGGTTTTCTGTGTATAGTTTAATGGTGTACAGTAAAAAGTAAATAATAAAAAATAACAATGCGTTTCCCCTAACAGCGAGGCATCGATAAAAATTCTCTTCTAAATGGCCGCTATTATAATATAAAACAACAAATCTGTTACACAAACGATATAAATGAATAACACGAGCGGAAACTGAGCGGAGCTCCATTTTAATTTGTCGCCTTCCGTTTAAAAAGCTCTTGTTTTAATGAGCTCTGTAGTCTTCATATAAATATAATATTTTTTATATTATAAAGAGGGATAACTTATTTGTTTCTGTGCCTATTTATTTGAAGCCTCTCCTCATAAGGATAAGAAATCACGCTTGCTCAAGGTGGATTGGCGATTTCAAACTTATAATTCATAATATGGGAGAGGCATGCACAACTGGGCCGTTTCGGACAGTTTTTTTAAACGTTTATGACGTAATATGGGATTAGGACTTTTTCTGTCCACGGCCCCACAGTAAGCCGACCTGAAACACCGCTCACAATATGTAGGTATCGCTTTGCGAATGATATTACCAACTTCCCAGTCTTTCCGAGGATCCTATTCCGCATCCTGAAATCCCCGAATCCTCAAATCTACGAACCCTCAAATCCCTAACCCTTAAAATGAAAAAATGTTTCAGTATAAAAGTATTTCAAAAAAAGGAAACTTTACAGCAACCACTACTTTTCCCCTTTCGGGAAATATTGGAATTATAATACGTTACAAAATAGCATAAACGAATATGGTATGATGGAACTGTTCACTATTCCCTGAGCTTCATGAGGGAGTCAGTAGAATACCTAATCAGGTGTACTCCAGTCACATGTACGTCCATCATACTGAATTCAGATCCCGTACATTTTATTTGGGACAAAATATATAATAACGTTTTATTTCAATTTCGTGCGGCTTCTGTTTTGAATTGAAAATAATGTAATGTTTATATTGTTAAAACGTTCGTGAACGAGTTTCTGTGCTAGTTGTCGTTACTCAATGTTTAGATTTTGGTACTATACCTATTTATGAACAGTATTTTCGGTCTGAGTGGAAGTAGGTATTTGCTCTTCAGCTTTTGTAGATCAGATGCAAAATCTGCTTATTTATTTGATTTGCTTTGAATTCATAAAAAATTAAATAGATACTGGGACGGGAGCAGTAGCAGACAAGATTTTAAAGCCATTAATTTGTATATTTTTTTATTCCTTGCTTTGGCATAGGTCGAACGAATAGGTCGGTTTCATCGAATTGACACCAAAAACTGGCGTGAAAAAACGTTTTAATATAGTTTCTTATGAATCTTACCACACTAGCCTATTATCAATTCCCTCAATCCTCAGATCTCTAACACCCAAGTAGTCGCTGCTGCTTTAACTACCAATATCAAGACCTTTACGTGATCAAAACAGTGTATTTACCTGCATAACTGGGGCGGTGAATAGGCAACCGACAGGTTTGAATTCAGTCGCGGCTATGGTTCCCACACGGAACAACTATTTCATCAGGAGAAAGGACATCATCCATTTTGGTCTAAATGTCAAAGTATGCCTGGTTTATTCTGAAAGAACTCGTTCGCCTTAGCATTTTTTTATATGCCACTTAAGCTGTATGCACCAATACACCAACAAACTCGGTGGTATTCATGTTAAAAAAATACTGATTTTTCGTACATTTTTCAATCAAATGAATTAACAAAAATAATGAGATGACTTCATTTGTTACAAGTTACTGGTTTACTCGAAATGTAGGAATGACGGAATTAGAATTCAAATTATATCACGTATGTATATTGAAGTTTTGGACTTGGTGTCATATAAACAAATTCTAAGGCGGACGAGTTCTATCAGAATAAAACACTTTTTTTATTTGGCCGGAACTTTTGCTTTTGGACCAAAACTGTAAATAATATTAGATATAGATGATGTCCTTTCTAATCTTCAAGGTTTTTTTTTATATTAACGAAAAGAAGTAATGTTTGGATCAGGAAATTCAATCCAAGACCTAGTTCAGGGCTGTGTATGCAAATAACCTCTTACTCAACTCTGTATAACATCTAACTTAGTAAACGAGTTATTTAAAATTCCTGACAGCCCCCAAAAACAGATAGAGGATGAACGTTTGCATGTTCTTACAAATCGGGTCACGTCTTGCCCTTCCAATGTAAGTGCGCATAAAAACTGAAATGCCTTGAAGATATAACCCACAACGAGATGAGTTTCGATACAAAAACGTCAAGTTTACTTGGCTATAAATATTATACCTTAAAAACTTTTGGTCAAATCTGAAGATTTTTCTTCGTCGAAAGAGTAATACAGTACATTATTACCGCTGTAGAGTTTTTACACAAAGCAGGCTTTATAATAAAATGAATTGATTTTAGGCTTAATTTAAGCCGCCTAACAAAAGTAAATATTACAATCATTATTTTAATAAATAAGAAAACCGTTACCGTATAAGTTTATTAGTTAGTATATTTATATTACGTATACATAATATAAATTTGTCAGAAAAGTGACACCGCGGCCCCATTGAAAAGCATGAATTAACAAAGCGTTGTGTTTCCCCGTGTGAGTGAGTTTACCGGAGTTACGTCTCTCCCCAATCTCTAAATCTCCGAAACCTTATCCCAGAAAGGCTGGCAACCCAGTCATAATTCTTCTAGTGTTGAGTAAGACCACGAGCACCGCCCATTGCTTACCATCAGGTAATCAATGTGATCATTTGCCGCACTATCAATAAAAAAAGGTATACCTACCTGAGATATCGTATATTCTATGTTTCTAACGTACATTACCTTAAAAGACTTAGTGATTGACCTCTCTCGCTCAGACAGACTTTATATATACGTACTATAGATATTTATACTCCGAATACATCATCCAATCATACATGCATAATATACATACATATATTATCAAGTTGGGTATGGTAATTGCGGAAGCCGAAAACTTTAATATCCGCAACAGAACATGGGACCCGTCGCATATCATTCATCATTGGGATGTGGAAAATTACGTTTAAATATACAATAAAATCTATGCGTAGAGGAGCTTATTTTATTAGTTTATAATCATCATCATCATCATTAGCACACAAGTACCCACTGCTAAATAAAAAGCCTCTTATCACAGTAAATTTGCTTCTTCCGCCCAGGGTGAGGCGAGAGGTTGTGCCAGACTCTTACTGACTTAAACCCCCCTGTTCCTTCTCCGGCTTGATGCCAAGGTCGCGGTGCCTTATTCCGCTTACCCCGCAACCCCGATCGCTTGCTCAAGGCAGATTGGTGATTTGAAACTTATAATTTTATGACTCCAGATTTTCTCACGCGCTTTTCTTTCCTGTTTGCCAGTGTGTTCAAATACCCCAAAAAAATTAATACTACGTAGAAAAAGACTTAGTATTCGCCAGGTTCCGAGATCGCGTCCTCCTGCATGTGAAGCGAAAGCTTTAACATCTACGCCTTAAATCTTAACGTATTGAGACAGTATTAGAAAAAAATAATGCGTATCGTTTTGTTTTGACGGTTTTACCCATCAGGACTTTGTAAGATCAGAGGCGAAATATAATAAAACAAATCCTGGTTACGATTGTCATAGAAAAATTAATAGTACATTTACATTAAATTATTTCTGTATTATATACCCTTATTAACCTACCAGGACTTCTGCAGGTAAGTTCGAAGTATGGCCGCCAGATAATCATCAAATTATCACGCAACCTATTTTATGCCTTACAAAAAAAAACAAAACTCCTGGAAAGCCTTCTACATTTCTTTAGATCTCTAAAATACAATTTTCCCGCAGATGATGACAACCCTGTGGCTACTGGAAATGAAGCCAATCATCTGGCAACACTGCCTGAAGAAGAAGCAGTGGTGGCTATGATGGGGTTACCAAGAGCTGGAGAAATTACCAGAGCTCAGCTCAGGATTAAGGAGAGCAAGGAGTTCAAAGTAAGTTGATAGCTTTGTAGCTTAAAATTTTGATGATGAGACTAAACAAGGGTATGTGACATTATGTAACATGTCCATAAAAAATCGATTTTCTTTTTACATGACTCATATTATCTGTAGTAAAGATCACAAAATATGTTTAGGAAATCGTTACCAGTTAATCCTGCCTACATAACTTCAAAAAATTACGTTTCAGAAAATTCGGTGCCTGTGTGGGATCAAATTAAAATTACTCAATTGTCTTTGATGAAAATCGGCACAGAGATAAATTATAATCTAAAATATAATGCTGATAAAACTGCTAGCAAAAACTGGTTAAAATAGTTATACCTACTCCGCATACCTCCTATTTATTATTGCCAAATTTTAAACTTAGTAATAAATTTGTTTAAGTGGTGCCGTATAATTTTAAAGTGACATCTTTCTTTTTATTCTTTTTAAATTAATGCGACAGCAAACGACGAAGCAGCTTACTTACACACCCGCAACAGTAAAGAAGTTGATAAGCAATTTTGGGCATAAAACCCAGCGATTTTTTTAAAAAAAAGAGTAACGATGGAGTTTTTTTCTCTTTCTTCTCCATTCGAAACTACAATTTGGAACGAGCACCTAGCTTCACTGACGAGCAGACTGACAGACTACTATTCTATTTTGACGATAAATGATTTTGATTTGATTTGATTTGCGAAATTCAACTCTGTGCATTGTTTTTTATGCCGATGATCTGTGAGTCAGTAGTATCAATCTGGTTCAGCCAACCCGATCATGCTGCAGCATGGCTCTCTCACAATTAATTAATAACTTGTAGTAGGTAATCGACAAAATAAAATATTGTTATAGCAACATTAATATTAATGAGTGTTCAATTGTTTCAGAACACAGTAGACAAACTAGTACAAAGAGCGAACGCATCAATTATCATAGGCACGTCTTCGTGGAAGGAACAGTTTTCAGAAGCGTTAACAGCTAGTTCAGGTAAGTTTGGAACTGTTTTTAGTTATCAAAACACTTGATATAGTTAATGGAAACTTTAGTTTGAGTGTTTATTTACTTTGGAAACTACCTGAGGTATACATAATTCAAAAGTCTATTTCTATTTCTGGATTGCTTGATGTGTGTGTGTGGGGGGGGGGAACGCGCGCGTATGTGTGTGTGTGTGTGTGTATGTGTGTGTGTGTGTGAGAGAGAGAGAGAGAGAGAGAGAGAGAGAGAGAGAGAGAGAGAGAGAGTGTTATTAATTAACATATCACCACTATCAATCAGCCTATAAGTGCCCACTACTGAGTGAAGACCTCTTCTCACACGGAGGTTTGAGCATTACTACGCTTGTTATTGCTGAAGGCAATTAGATATTAGAAATTATAAGTCCAAGTTTCTTCACGATGTTTTGCTTCACCGTATATCAGTTGTGTCTAAATAATCATAGAAACTACATAAAACTCGGAATAAGCACACTGGTACTTGCCAGGTTTCAAAGCTGCGCCGTCGTGCATGAGCAGCGGAAACAAATAAGAATCTCTCTTTTAAAATATTTCAGTCAGTAGGTGTCTTAATTTTTTTTTATAATGGCCTTCAATGATTTTTAAAACCAGCGCCACACATAGCTCTATCACAATTCCTTTAAACGTTCAAATTATAGCCCACCTTGACATTAGCCTTTCATTGCAAATATAACTTAAATTTTCAATCCATAAAGTTAAGTTTCACTTGACATCGATCTTATAAGATATTACTTCTAGGTTCTGATGACCCTGACGAGCCACCTTCTTGTTTCGACTATGTGCTGCACGTTGTGACGCTGTTCTGGAAGATTGTCTTCGCATTGATACCACCTACTGGTTAGTACATTAAATACATAGTATTTGTATATAGAATATACATAGGCACCTTATAAACTAGTGTGGCTTACCATCAACAATTGCATCACTCTTTACCATCAGGTGGGATAACCGCCAAGCACAGTTTATATGATTAAAAATATATATAAATAAAATAGGTATGCGACTTTACATAAAGTATTGTTAACACCGAATCCAGTGTTTTTTTCAAACTGGTTAGGAAAAAACTGGAAGAAAATATATTTTGCTTTTTGGTTGAGTATTTTGGATAAGAAAAACGTTTTTAGTCATATTTGCTATTAGCAAATAGTCTTATTGTTTTTGTGCCTTAACTATAAATTAACTCTTGATTTGGAAACGAAAAATAATCACTAGTTTCAGCTAAATTCCTAAATATTGTTCTCCCTTACAAAGATACGCCATTATAACTTGTTTTCTGTTTCAACAAAGTCCATTTTCTTCCAACAGATATAGGTGGTGGCTACGTCTGTTTCGTGGTGTCGATCATTTGCATCGGATTAGTGACGGCGGTGATTGGCGACGTGGCCTCTCACTTCGGGTGTACCCTGGGCATAAAGGACTCTGTCACTGCCATTGTGTTTGTGGCTTTGGGAACTAGCATTCCTGGTAAGTAATTTTATGGAGTAAGCCTTTTCTATGGGAAGAATTTCTTGAAAGATACACTTTGAAATAAAATTTTGATAGCTACACTTAACCGTTAGTTAGCCCCTGTTGATGATAGCGTGATATTTAAATAGCCTATCTTCAGTCAATGTAATTTTCAACACAAATAGAATTATTCGATTTGATCCAGTAGTTTCGGTGATTAGCGCTTTCTACAAACAACTTTTTCAGGTCCTCAGATTCATGATATTTGTTTAGATTTGATGTCTGTAAAGTACCTACCTTGTTAGCAAATGGTAGCAAACGACTGTGTAACGATATGAGATGTTCAATGCAATTCGCTAGTATTTTTTTTTAAATCTTGCCCCTCATCTGGATTTTCTTCTGTGTCGTGGGTGCGGTTACAAACATACAATTTCACATACACATGACACCCAGACCCGGAACAACAATTTGTGGATCACACAAAGAGTTGTTCCGTGAGGGAATCGAACCCGCGACACGTTGCACGGCAGCCAATTGCCCAGCCAACGCACCAACCGTGCAGTCAAATTTATTTATTTAACGATGAAAAGATTTGCTAATTCATTTTACGCTAATAAACTCTTAACGAAATGAAATGAAATCATCCTATGGCTACTAAATTCGGTCAAATACAAAATTCTTAAGTACGGAATTTTTATTGTTTTTACGGTATACTTGATTTTCGTATTTTTGTAGAAATTTTCAAGGTATGACTAAGTTATTTTATGAAAAATATAGTGGCATCACAACATTAATACTGCCGTCGTAAGAAAAAAGGGCACAACTAACATTTTTGACAAAATTGAGTTATATACATATTTAGAATCAGAAAAAAAAGGCACATTTACTCAATTTTTTATAGAATTTTATCTTCAGTGAATTCGGAGATACAGTAGGTTCAGAAGGCACAAATGAGACTAATATTCATGTTTTATACAATGAAAAGGCACATTTATTTACCATTATATTGAAAAGGCACAAATACGTAGATGTGACTATTACTTCATACAGATTATTACTATAAACTACTTTGAAAAGGCACACTTACAGCATAACATAAAGAAAAGGCTCAAATACCAGATGTGCCCTGTCTACTTAATTAATTATCCATGCATGGCTGAATTAATTTACGTATAAAAGGCACAAATAACCAGTTGTGCCTTTTCTTTAATTTTTTTACGATCAGGGGTGAGGAAAGGAGGGCAGGGTTTGATTGAAACGCGCCAGTTGTGCCCGACGTGTCACGACGAGTCCACGTTTGTCTGTGCTGCGCTGGTAAGATTTTTTGTTACATATTTGCGTGTTTTTATTAAATTAAACTTCTTTTGTGACACATTAATATGAATATAATAATGTATTGGTATTTATTGGCTACATTTTTGAGTGATTAATTGCAATTTAGTAAAAAAATATAACGAAATTTTTAGTAGGTATCTACCTAATCACTACATAGTATAAAACGCTAAATCTTTAAAACTACGCAACGGATTTTGATGGGGTTTTTTTTAATAGATAGAGTGATTGAAGTGTAAGGTGTATAATAACATCCATTAAGTAGTGGGCATTGCACCTGTGCGAAGCCGGGGCGGGTCACTAGTCGTAAATAATTTAGAATACGCGCAATAATAATTGTTACTGGATTTATACTACCAGGTCATTTTTACCAAAGTCTTCATTCTTTTTTCAGCAATATGCAATCACGAAGCGCAAGATTAGTTAGTGCTGCTTTACGCAACGATAAAGGTGTAGGCGAATGGTCTCCCGAGCCGTCAACCAGTGGTGGCGTTCAACACTCAGTGCAAGCATCAAGCTCGGAACATGTTGTGGCACCGCTATCTGTGTTAGATACAGAATCTGATTTTGATTCTGATGACTCAGTATTGGATAAAAATTATGAATTACCAAAAGTACGGGAAAAAAACAGCGATACAGATGGGACTGACTCAGAAGACTTTATACCATGCTCGCAGCCATTACCAGCAAAAACAATTTTAGAGTCACCGGCAGAATCAGAAGATGAAGAAACCAACCATGTTCAGCTGACTAAGAAAGGAACTATTAGAAAGCGCAAAACTTATAACGTTAGCATAAAGGATCGGAAGAGACTGAAGGCGGAGGAAAAAATAAGAAATAAATATTTTGTAAAACCAGGCTGCCGCGAGGATGTCTGCAAAAAAAAATGTTCAGCACACTTTTCAGAAGAGTATCGCAAAGTAGTGAATAACAATTTTCGAAAAATGTCATGGATGGAACAAAAATACTTCTTTTTGTGTCATACTAGTCAAAGAAAACCGGATAGGCCAAAGGACATAGGAAATAATGACAAAAATGGTAAACATTACATACGATCTAAAACCATATCATATTTTTTGGCAGACGAAAATGGTGATAAAATTCCAGTATGCAAAACATTTTTCTTAACCACCCTAGGCTATAACCAAAATAATTGTAAGGCTGTAAGAAATGTTCTTGATAATAAGAATAATACATCGTACCCAGAATCCCTCATTGATGGCCGCGGACACAACCCAAATCCAAGGAAATTAGATAATACTAAAATCATTGAGCATATAATGTCATTCCGTCCTGCTGTGTCCCATTACAGGCGAGAACATGCCCCTAACAAAAAGTATTTGCCTTCTGATCTCAGTATTCGAATCATGTATGACCACTACTGTGAAAATGAGCCTGAAACGAAAGTATCGTACGGTTTTTACAGAAAACTTGTGAAGGAACTTAATATCTCATTTGCCAAATTAGGCCACGAAGAGTGTGAGCAGTGCGAAAAATTTACAATTCATAACCCTAACTCAGAAATTAGGCACAGAGGTTGTCAAGCATGTAAAAGTTATGAAAAACATCACGAAAAGTACATTTTAGCTCGTAAGAAGTATGAAGAAGATGCTGATAATCAGACTCAGAAAAAGAATAATGCTGATACTATTATTTTTGCTGTAGACCTGGAAAAAGTTATTATGTTACCCCGCATGGATGAATTCAAAACCGTGATGTTCTGCCCGCGGCTTATTGTTTTCAACCAGAGTTTTGTGCCGTTAGGAGACAAAAAAATACACGAAGTTGGTCACACTTTTGCTGTTTTATGGCACGAAGGAACGTCTGGCAGAAAAAAAGAGGACATTGTAAGTTGCTTCAGAGCTTTTTTTATAGAAAACCGAGACCTAAAGCACGTAATTTTGTGGCTTGATAACTGTGCAGCACAAAATAAAAATTGGACGCTTTATTCTTATTTGATATATCTGATAAACTCTGCCGAAGTTAGTTTTGAAAGTATTACTTTGCGGTATTTAGAAGTTGGTCATACATTCATGGCTGCTGATGAATTCCACCACAGAGTGGAACGATCTCTTAAAACAAAGAAACGTGTTTACGACTTTGAGGATTTCTGCAAAGCTGTATCTGATACTGGCTCTCGCACAATAGTAAAGAAGATGATTATTCAAGATTTTTTTGATTTTGAAGACTGCTCCTCAACATTCAAATTGAAAAATTCCAACCCTCGAGCTTATTTGAATGATATTGTCGAGGCTAATTTTCGCAGGGGTGGCCATTTATTATTTTACAAAAATAGCCATGGAACTGATGAGTATTTTGAATTGGATTTCCTTAGGTTGAAAGATCTTAAACAAGGTATTCCAGCACCACGCCAAAAACATACTCCGAGGGGCATCACGAGCGAAAGGAAATCTGCTATACTTACTAAACTTGGACCACTTATGCCTGCTAATCGAAGGCATTTTTGGGAAAGCTTACCCGTAAATGACGGCTCAGCTGATCTAACTCATATTCATGAAGACTGATTGTTTTATTAAATTACTCATTTTGAATGACTAGTTATAAGTGCCTTGATGATTGTGATAACTTTAATTACTTAATAATGTACCTAGGGTTTTTTTTATTTTTTAAATAGTTTTTTTTTGTTTATTCTAGAATTGTTCAAAAAGGTGGCTGATTAAATATCCTTTTTTTTATAAAAAAATAAGAAGCTAATACCTAAGTTCCTTGATGAAGGTTTGTCCTTTAATTTTTGAATTTGCGTTTATTCCTATTTTGATAATTTTAATGTAGTTTGTAGGCATGGCATGGCCAGAGTGATTGTAATTGTGATAACCTTAAAAGTGCCATATTTAACAAACATTCTTATAAGACTTTTAGAAGTTGATTTAATAATCTGACTGTGATTTAAAAAGAAACAAATAAGTTTCTTGAAGACTGCTAATTTCAGTTAATAAATGTTAATTTTTTAAAGTTATGAGACGATAATTTTTGTTACCTTTTTAAAATAAAAAAATTGAAATTATTTCCTAATTGTTTTATTACCTGTTTCTTTTTGTATAATTATTAAAAAGAAAAGGCACATTTTAATAAATATGCCTGTTCATTGTAATATTTCATATTTTTTCCCAAAATGTCAGAATGAAAAGTCGCAATTGGTTAATTATGCCCTTTATTCGTAATATTAATAACTTTAGTTAATTTTTGTTGTTACTTTGAAAGGGAAAATGTTGATTATTTAATAAATAGTAATAAAATAATAACTTCCATTTCATTAGTTGTATAAGAATCGTGATAATGAATTTATTTTAATTCATCTATTTTCGAAAAATAATGTGTAAGTAATTTTTTTCGTCAAAAACCAATAAAAATTTTAAAGTCGATTTTCTCCACATTTGTAAAATGTTAGTTGTGCCTTTTTTCATTATGACGGCAGAATAAAAAATAATTTTTGGTCACTCAATTTTAACAATTCGAAAAAGGTATTGAATTTCAATAGTGGTTGAGTGCTCGATCATTACCAATTTAACATGCCAGAAAGAAAAAAATACAAAAATCAACGTACTTTACCTGTCTTATGACAATATTATAAAGCTGGCTTTTAACAACCAAAAACATTGCTGGCTTTTCTTCAACATTTTTAAGGAGAAACGATTTTCTAAATCGGCTTTAAAGAAACATATCTTTTCGTGTTTAAGATAGGAACACTGCTTCGGGCGATGCTTATGTTCTTTGCGAACATAGGGATTAGGTTTCGGACGAAGTAAGATTAAAACTAGGAAAAGAAAATGTCCTAGACATTTTCAAGCCTTCCTTCGATAGTGTGGTCTTTTGTAATGTTTATTTTTCTAATAAAGTACGTTTTACAAATATTAATATATTTTCCTCGTGTGATTGAGGGTATGGAGTAATTTGTTTAGTTAAATTTGGTCAAAACAAAAAAAATATGGTTCATAATCAGTGGAGGGAAAAAAGTGTTTAGTTTTCAAGGATATAAAAAGTTATAAAGGAGTAACATGTTACTACACGGCCGGAACAGAAGTGTTTTTACTTAATTCAGTCTTTTAGAAATTGTTTTCAGAACAAAATTGTTGCTAAGGAAAGGTAGGTAAGTTTAAGTAATAAATATTTCTGAGTGCAGCAGTTATTCGAACTCATTCTTCTGAAGTGCAATAGCAGTGCCGCTCACTACCAAGTTTTTTCAGAGTATTATTAGAGTTTTCCTATTCAAAATTCTTTATATTACAATAATACTAAGAACTGCCAAAACTTGGTTTGCTGACTTTTACACATCCTATAACCAAGTTTCTCTAACCAAGATTTGGCAGTGCTGCCAACAATTTCGCGAATAATTCAGTTGATATTATGAAGCAGTATTATTTACGGCTGAAAATTAATTACAGTCTCATCTTGCGGTCGGAATCCATTTACTTGAGTTCTTGGTAACTGTTATGAGGGAAGAAAGTTGACAGTAAAAAATATGATCAGTGTAATGAAGGAATTTTTCTTAGTCTAGGGCATGTTAATTAATCTTGTGCCTTACGTGTATTAACATTAGGCCTACTTTTTCTTGAAGAATGGTAGAGGTGAAATTTCCTTTGTAATTTCTCACTTCTATTGTCATCATGGGCATTATACACGAATGGACTGTAGTGATACCACGGCCTCACAGAAAACTGACGTAAAACAAACTTCACGATGGGTTTCGCCGTATGATTGAGGACACTTCAACCCCAATACACAAATCTCTCAAACGCCTAATCCTTTACCATTTACTATAGCAATTAGGAAATTTGTCTTCATGCTTGTTAGAGTAACTCAATAACAAAGCTAAGAATTTTAAATGGTGAAAATACTTACGTCTTCCATCAAAATACTGAAATTAATTTCACAATCCAACAAGACGCTTTCCCTGCGACCGCATTCCACTGACGGGGTAGTGGATAGTCAGGCTCTTGGTCCTTTATTTAAGCCTAAGATTTGAACGACATGGTAGATTATTCTTATTTTTATGTCGACAAACGTGCAGACGGATTACCTGATGGTAAGCAATCAGCGCCGCCCATGGACACCTGCAACGGAGGAGTTACGAGTGCATTGCCGACCTTTTAGGGATTAGGGATTTGGAGATTTAGGGATTGAGGAGGGATAGGGGGAGGGGAAGGTTTGGGCCTCCGGTAACCTCACTCACACGGAGAAACACAACGCTGTGGTTATTTCACGCCGGTTTTCTGTGAGGCCGTGGTATCACTCCGGTCGAGCCCACCCATTCGTGCCGAAGCATGGCTCTCCCACACAGAGCGTTTTCAAAAAACAACAGACTTATGGCCTAGCCATCCAATAACATTAAATTTCTCCTCACAAACTTATCATCTTGTTTTTCTTCCTAGATACCTTCGCTAGCAAAGTGGCTGCGTGCCAGGACAAATATGCAGATGCATCAGTGGGAAACGTGACAGGATCAAATGCAGTCAACGTGTTCCTTGGCATTGGAGTCGCGTGGACTCTGGCTGCTATTGTGCACTGGAGCAAGGGCGAAAAGTTTGCCATCGACCCTGGAAAGTAAGTAACAAGGCCTTTTGAATTCATTGGTAAAAAAACAAGAACAATCAGTGATCAGTGGCTTACAAGAAAGAGTTGTTCCACAGCACCACAGATATCACGTTGCATGGCAACCGGTTGCCCAATCATCAAGTATTAATAAAAAATAACGTTGTATACAATGTTTCCCATTTAAGCGATACCAGATGTATATGATCTCACTGTATATTGTTTCTCTACACATTCCAGTATCTTTGTTTACTGGTTGAAGCTAAGCCTTGTGTACAATGCATTGTCAAGAATTAAACAGATTTAGATCTTATTATTTATTTCCTTGCTCAACAATTATATACTATGTTTATATCACGACAAAGTTGTCTAAATAGTTGTTAATCTCCCTAAAAGTCACATCAAAATATAATGAACCTTCTCATATTGTTACTAATTTTTAAAGATTTTGGTTGTAAATGTTTTTTTATCGAAATCTTCTTCCACAGCCTAGCCTTCAGCGTGACGTTATACTGTTCCGAGGCCTGCGTAGCAGTCTTGGTCCTCGTTCTACGAAGAAGAAAAAGTATTGGAGGAGAGCTCGGAGGTCCCAAGGTCATCAAGATCATCACCTCCATGTTTTTCTTCTCCCTTTGGCTGATATACCTCACCATGTCCAGCTTAGAAGCCTATGACGTCATCCCAGGCTTCTAAATGTCCAAATTCTGGTAATATTAAGTGCTTATTAGAAGAATTAGCTCAATCTACATTGTCTCTTACGACGTTTTTGCTTGAGTTGTAACTTTAGTATCGATGGATGTTACATACGAGAATGTCGTAAGAGCCCTTGTAGGTTATGGTGGATTTATTGTAAGAATAGTCTAAATATGTACCGTTAAGCGTGTTCGGATGAGCGTGTCAGCAGCTGATAGCCAGCGGATTTAATTCACACAACGAAATATAAAAGAATATTTTTCATATACAAATTTTCAGAGATCAAGGATCTTATTTTCCAGTCTTCTTTCAAATCGTAAAATGATCAACAGACCTATTCTATTGATTTGTTGTTATTTCAGTTTCAGATAAGTTTGTCTTAAATAATCGTTTATTATTCTATAAAAAATATTTTGAACGAATGAAGCGAAACATCGTATCTGTCAGATATTTAATTAATTATTTAAAAATTAAGGTTATGTTTGTACAATCAGCTGCATCTGAACTAGCTCTATGATCTATGTGCTCAAATGTACAGGTTTAGACGTCGAATGTACTCTTTCTTCCTTCTAGAACCTTCTCTTTTCTCTTATAACCTGATAATAATTAATAATTGTAGCCTTACCGGCTGTGGTATAAATAGATATATATGAATAGATTTATCAAATAAAAAAACGAATTCTATGCATCATTTTAGAAGTATTATAGTATTTGCATGATTATTAAATTGAGCCAATAGTACGCACGTATTGACAGAGAATTCTGCGTATTATAAGAATGCGTATTTTTATCCGCAGCGTATAAATTTTAATGTTTTATTTGTTTGTTCATAAAAAGCAATGCTTTCTTTGTTTACCAAGGATACAGATAATTGAGTTTTGTAACGGAAATTTACGTGTTAAATAAACATTTGTAGTTCAAATATTTTATTATTTATTTCTAATTTTAGAAGTCCAATTTAATAAACCAATTAATATAATTAACACCTCATACTTGCTTAACCGATATTCTTTACCAATATGTGCGTGAACATCTAACAAGAACATCGTGTTAAGATTTTTATTTTAATTAAATCGCCAGACGCGCCGTCATAATTAACACAGTTAATTTGAAAGGTGACGACGAACATTTTAATAATGCGAGCCAAGATTTTGTACACACGGGTTTATTTAGAGCCCGTAGCGATTAACGATGTTAGGGAACTTGGCGATAGACTCGTTAGCGATTGGAATTTGCGATAAATAACTTTTAATTACTGGAGTATAATGTTGCAAATTACAATCGTTATAATTTATCTTATGGAAGCCAATTTGTTTTTGTAAATATTTTAGTGATAGTTTAATTTTTGTGTGTTGTAGTGTGTTGCCGCTAGAAAAATAACGTGTAGGTTTTTGTATGTAAATACTTGCTGATACATAAACTCATACAGGATCGTATTGGAAAGGATAATTTTGTCTAATTTTTTATAATGATATCATCAAATAATTAATATTCAATATTCGCACTGACAAAGACAACGTTATCAGATGTCGATGTGACAAATAAACATTTTTAATTTGATTTTGATTTTGATTTGATGATATGTAAATTCTTTGATTATTATAAATCCAACTCTATGTCAAGAAACAAACGATTTAAAATTAACTACAGTACGCATGTAACGCAGTACGTTTAAAATTTTGCCAATATTATTTTTACTATTTTCATCTCATTGTTCAAAACCACTCGGCTGTGATTAAATTGACAGCGTATTTTAATTTAATTGATAGGTACCTGCCTACTATCGATATAAATTTATCGATTATCGACGAATCACTAATTTCCATAATGGTTGCGTTACCGAATGAAATTGAACTCGATTTTATCGAATCGTGTCAATAAAAGACAAATAAACTTAGTTTAATTGTAACTGCAGTTTGTTAACTATAGTAAATATTTTGTATGCAAATGATTCGTTAAATTGTAACATTAATTTCGTAATGTAATAATTATATTATTATTGGCAAATAGTAATTTATTTCGGATTGTTATGTTTGTTTAATTTACATAGGTACATTACGCAAACATGCTTGATTGTTTGTTTAATTAATTAGAGTGGATACCAAAGATTTTTGTGACAATTTTCAACTGAATTAATTAAGTATTTGAAAATAATTCCGATGGTCGTTCAGATAATAGTTTAATTTATATTTGACGCCATTTTAATTAAAACTGTTTTAACAGAATTTATTCTAAAGAATAGAAAGAGGCTGATGGTGTTAAATAATAATGAATTATGGGTTTACTTAAAGCAAATGCGGTCATTGAACTCGCCCAGGCATCGATGTGATATATAAATTGTCACAAAAATCTTTGGTATCCACCAAAGATTTTTGTGACAATTTTCAACTGAATTAATTAAGTATTTGAAAATAATTCCGATGGTTGTTCAGATAATAGTTTAATTTATATTTGACGCCATTTTAATTAAAACTGTTTTAACAGAATTTATTCTAAAGAATAGAAAGAGGCTGATGGTGCCATTTTCTACTCTTTAGAATAAATTCTGTATTGTAATTATGGGTTTACTTAAAGCAAATGCGGTCATTAAACTTACACATCCATCGATACAGTTTTTTAAATTGATTATTTGTATCCGAAATCAATACTAACCTTTGTTGTCGATGCTTTATTTACAAGTTCCATATTTTTTAAATTACGAACTTTATCACTCTACTCAACAAGAGTTTTTATTTAATCTTCACATAAATGTAGTCATAAAAACTTTGCCATTAAGTCGGTTAAAGAGAATCAAAATGACACTGTACCATTTTAATCACAGCCTAGTTGAAAGATAAACATTAATTTATAACGAAAACGGCACTCAATTTGAGACTCAAATCTTTCTAATTTAGAGCCGAATTTCGCTAGCTCTATAAAATATATTACTGCGACAAAAGTAATTACAAGATCATCTTATACTTGAGTGCCGTTTGAGTTTTTCGCGTAATAGTCTTCTAGAGAGTATTATGTAAATAGTATAATAAACTCAGATTTACTTAGCATTAGATCAAGCTTTAGATCAAATTAAGCAGTTGGCTATGCTAAGCTTACAAAACTGCGGTAAAACCGATGCGAGAAGCGATAACGATTACACTTACGTAATATCATATAATTATAAAATAAATATCGCTTTCGAAGCGTATTATTATAATGAATAATCACGAAATAATAATTTTCGACGGCAAAAATAATGTTCTTAAAATTATAATTTATAAATAATGTTTATTATTTCGTGGCATAAATTTTATAAAAATAAATTCACGGCATAAATATTTATTTGAGCCATAAAATTATTTTTTATAAAATATAAAATTTTGTTTTTTAACATCAAAGCTAAGAACACCATTATTATAATAACGGTGCAATTAAGAAAACCGTTAATTTAGAAGGCACCAATACGAAATTATTCATATAGATAAGTACTGCCATAATTATAAGAGCGTTGATATTTATTTTTAGATGGCTTGTGTTGAACGATATTATCGCTATATTTAGAAATTGTATTTAGAGTATAATATTATAATGAACTTTATTTTAAATTCTTTTGGGTTTCATTTTGATCACTTAGCGTCTTAGCTTCCACGTTTGATTAAAAAATCTTATATCGATTTGATATGATAATAGAATTTACAAATAAAAATGATCAAGTCATCAAATACATCATATACCAAGGTCACACATTTTTATCCATACGCTAGCGATAAAAATTGTCAATCACTATCGATATAAGAGTAGCTAGTCGATGAATCGAACGCTTTACTACTTTCCACGTCTATTTTATAACTATCTTCTAAATCTAGATTTGTTCAACCTCTTTATAAAAATATTCTGCCTGACTTCGGACCAATATTGTTGTTTTGAATTTATTTTCATCGTAGACATATTTCTACGCTTTCAGTAGATTTTTCTAAAAATTTTCACCGTATCTACTCTTTTAGAATCTCTCATATTTATGCTTACCTACGGCTTCGTCGTGTTTTCATCCTATCGGGAAATTTTTACCTTGCATTTTACTTTTAGGTCTTACAACTATTGTATTTGAAGTAAATTTTTAGAATTTTAGATTCTCTTTATGTATTTTAAAATGCGTATACATTTTAACCAACCTATATATATTTATCACTTTCAAAATTTTAAGTGACAAAATTTTCCAAAATTTTAATAATGTAAGAATGATACAAAATATTGCGAAGAATAATGTCTTAAGCTATATTTAAAACTCGATACTAGTCATTGAACATAAATATTCGATAGGCGAGTTCTATTATTGGAATGTCGATAGTACTGTGTCTGTCAGTGGCGTGTGGCACCGTGATTTAATATTTAAAATGTTGGCCTTGTAAAACTGTTCAATTGATTCGTTACATCACTGATTAAATAATTAACATTCAATGTTTTATTAAATAACCCTCACAGAAAACCGGCGTGAAACAACTGTAGCGTTATGTTTCGCCGTGTGATTGAGGTTACAGGAGGCCCTCTCTCATACCCTTTCCAATTCTTAAATATTGGAAACTCTTATCCCGGCAATGCACTCGTAACTCTTTTGGTGTGGCATGTCCATTGCCGTCGCTGATTGCTTACCATCAGATAATTCGTCTATTCGTTTGCCAAATTATCTCATTTTTTTTTGTCGAGAAATGTAAATATTACAATATTAATATTACAATATTATTAAATACTAAATTTATTGTAAATAACGATTTATTTGTACACAATGGGACTTTTATTAATGAACAGCCTGCTCACCGCAGCGGATTAGAGCTTATTTCAGTTAATTTACGTGAGTAAGTCTCAAGTCACTTATTTTCATTAAACTTCAATGTTTTGTTTCAAATATTATAATGATTACTTATGATTTAATGAGAGAAAGGAAAGATACACACGCCATCGCTTTGATTTCTTAGAATGAAATTCGTTCATCATATTATCATTGTTTCCAATAAAAGCATCGTCAAATAATTAACAACCGTCTCCTAACAGTATAAGTACCAAAATTTAAAACCAACTTGTATGCTTAACTTCCAATCAAAATATTCTCGTATTGCTTCATTATAATTTTCGCCACAAATTGCCGTCGAGAAACTTTCTCAGTCCACTAATGTTCAGATGCAAAGTTTAATTTTAATCACATCTCATCGACTACAGTTCGTTTGAACACGCTAGCTGAATATTCATTAAGACCGAGGCCATAGAAAACATATTGATGGAATATTTAAATTTTCATTTCACAGAAGGAGGAAGAAAATGCTTCCAACGAAGGCTTTTCTTGCCACAAGAGATTATTCTGATAAATGTTCGTTAAATCAGACTAGCATAATGAAATGTGACGTTTGCCCTTGAGATCTTGCTTGGTTTTATTGAAATTGACGCGTGTGAAGCCGCATAAATACTGTTCACAGAAATGACGTCACGCGTGATCGCACCGTTCGCTGTTAATAAAACAGAGGTGTTGGACTGTGGTGGGTTTATAAAGAACTTATTGGAAGGGTGATTTTACACATGAATAAACAATAAAGCATAAAGTAAATCGCAATTCTAAATTTAAATTGTCTTGTAACATTTACTAACTAGAATTGTTCACTACATTTGGATATTGTAAAGTTGGTATTGGTATTGTAAAGTTGGTTCATTTTTTTTTAATAACTGCTAGGGCAACTCTTCTTAATTTCGACACAGTACTATCAACATGATATTTCACATTTCTATCTAAATGTCGTTCGTGTTAGATTCCTCAGATTCTTATCTCTATTGTAATAAGGTCGTTTTTGGTTTGTAGTTTTAACGAACTGATAGTGTACATAATATATTATGGCGAAAGAGATCATTATAGAAGTGTGTTTCGTTCGTTCTGTGTGTAGGCAAATAAAATTGGGACAGATTTTGATACAAAAGAAGACGTTGTAGAGATTTTATCGATAGAAATGAAATACGAAACTTATTAAAACTTTCGCAAGAAAAAAGAAAATGTGACGCTTGTCGATAAAAAATTTGGTATTATTTCTATCGATAAGATCAAGTTAATTTAAAAGTAAGCACCCCTCTCATATTTGAATTTTCATTTCATTAATGACTTTGGAAACTTTTTTAATTTAATTCCTGCAAAAAGCGTTACTAACTAAGCTTAGGACAGCGATATTAAAATTTATTTTCGTATGACGTCCCAAGAAATTTTACTTTTTCATTTTATAAATATTTAAATGAAAATATTATTTATGTCACTTTATATTTTCAAAATTATAATGATTATATTTTGTTTTTATATCACAAATAAGTAAATAACACAATTACGCTGAACAAAAAACAGATTCACTGCCTTTCCAATTGATACACAAAGCCACGTATTCACAATATACGGGATATTAAAAATAAATATACTTAGAGGCAAAGCGATCCGAAAATTCAACGTTCGGAAATTGACAATATATTATTTTTGGTCCGATAAACTATGAATAATTCAGTAAGGCCTTCCTTTGTTAAGTTGTGATTCGTAGCGGATAACGCAAAATTGATTTCATGTAACAAAAATATAAATTTTGTGAACAATAATGTTGTGTCATCATGCAAATATTTATAGAACAACTTATTTATGTTACAAAATTACGATTCTTATTTATGAAATTTCTATTATTTATGTTACAGAATAATTATATATTTTATCAAAAATGTTATTCGTGTATGAAAATTTATTACAAATTTTAAATTTAATTTAATACTTGCACCAATAATAACTGAGAATTGTAACAGAAAATTAAGATTGAATAAAATAATTCATAATAATCTGACCGGAAATGTGTAAAAATAATAAAAGAATATGCTACATTAAATAATAATTCTTACAGCTATTTATTATGTATGTTAAAAATTCAGTTGTATAATGATATGTTTTCAATTTAGGATTTTCATACCATAACGTCCACATTAAATTAAAGAAAAACATGTTAATTTTTTGTCATCATACCTTACAAACTTTTTTGTAATCCTAAATAGTGTATTATTTGTAATTTATGGTTCCTAAATATTGTCACTGGCCTATTTATGCTTAACTGGCCCCAATGCGTGGTCGACGAAGATTAGTTTTTTATGTAACAAAATTTAAATAAAAAAATGTTTATTTTATGAAATTAATATATATTTTTATGGTAAGATAATTTTCATTTTGAAATTAGAAGTTTTATTTCGACATAAATTTATAATTTCGTATTAATTATTTATGTTCGCTATCTAAGTCGACTGCGCATTAGATACTTCGTATATGCGTTTATTTTCTGACATATTTATCTCTAGGCTAACTTCAATCTTTCTAGCTACTTATAAATAGTAAATAAATGTGGGTGTATTTTATTTCGTAGATAAATAATATGAATGTCATATTTTTTAAAATGAAATAATTAATTGTGAAAATTCGCAACATAAATATGAAATTGGAAAATGACTATCAATTTTTCCAGAAAAAATGCCAATTTAATGAGAAAGCCTTCAAGAATCTGGTTTTGTTTTTATTGACTTCGAAAATGGCACTTACCGCAATGAGAACAAAGGCTGTATTGGCTCTCATCTCTTTTGAAAACCATCGCACGTTGCACCAAAGGTCTTCCAAGCAACAATAAAGTCACTACGCGTTTGAAGGCATTAGAAAGAGAGACATATATTTTTAAAAGCTATGACATTCAGTTATTAATATGTTAGTGTAAAAGAGACAGCACGCCAAGTCGTTACAGTTTAATTATGTTATTTTGATAAAATAATTATTGTTAAAATAAAGTGTTTGTTAAGGACTATATTTGATGTTTTATTTATTATGATAGGGAGGAATATTTATAGGACTAATATTTTTGAGCCTCTCCTTTTTTTACGGTATGTCCTTTTCCTTATCGGCAAACCAACACAAGGATTGTCTGATGGTAAGAATCGTGCTGGACATAGTCGCCCGCAACAACAGAGGAGCTACTAATGCGTTGCCGACCTATTGGAGATTAGGGATTGGAAGACGAGAAGGATTGGGCCTCCGGTGACCTCACTCACACAGCGAAACAAAACGCTTTGGTTTATTCACGCTGGTTTTCTGTGAGCCCGTGGTATCACTCTCTCACTGGTTCACTCTCATTCTTGCCGAAGCATGGCTCTTCCAAATTTAAAACCAAATTGTTTGTTTTGCTAAAGTTGAATATCGTAGATGCTCTCTGGTATAATTATAATAAGTTATACGCTGATTAACTAAAAATTGCGGGTTATTCACGTGTATAAATTGAGAAAATCTCTACTAATATCGAACCACAGAGGGGTGCTTCCTCATGAGCCGGTTTAACCCGCTGCTCGGCTCCATTTGATCGTAGCGTAATGTTTTATATACCTATAGTGAAAGAATTTTGGAAATCCGACCAGCGGTTCCAAAGATTACCCCCTACATAGAAACTTACAAACTTACAAAGTTTACCTCTTTATAATATTAGTCAAGATATTATGTAGATATACATTTTTTTGTTTATGATATACCAATCATAAACAAAAAATATTTTATATTGTGAATAATATGTAAGCAATTGGCACCGACAATAGGCATCCGGCACAAACTCTAGCGCAGTTATATCTATAACTGCGCTAGAGTTTCAATGGGTTGCCGTTTTTGAGGATAAGGGTTTTGAAGATTTAGGGATTGGGGAAAGATGGAAGCAGGGGCAGATTAATTTGGGACACTTTTCCTCCTTCACCTTTAGGAATACACACTGCAAGTGCCTAAAGTATTACATTAAATTACATAAATATCATTAAATTACACGATTCTCCAAACACCAAACAAAACAGTTTTGTTTAACATTTCTCAATCGCGAAACGACAAAACCAATGAATCAGCTGAAAGGGAACAAGCAATGAATCGATATCCAACCAGCACCGTGTTCGTTGTGAAACAAAAATTGGATTCGTACCTACAAAAAAAAAAAAAAACATTGACAATCGGTTAGTTTTTTGAGTACATGTAATATGTTGGTAGGTATGTATATGTACATAATGATGTGCAACTTGAGTATGTTATGAGTGAGTGAGTTGGATAGGATAAAACATTCATTCAGCATAAACAATAAGAGATACAAATTAATTGACCAAAACATAAAAAAGTGGGAAAGTACAAAATTAAAACAACATCAAATTGAAGTTTAAACGGGTAGTACCGTAGGAAAAACACAAAGAAAGAGGAAAAAACCATACGACGCCTTTCAATGTGTCTCTAGTTTGCACCGATTGGGAGTCCAGCTCAGTACAATATGTCAGGTAGAATACCTGAAGTTGGAATTCTGCTGAATCCCTGAATTAACGTGAACAGGAAAAACTGTTGATGTTTGAAATACAGCTCAGTAGAGGCTGATGAATGATATATAATAGGCCTTTACCTATGAAATTGCCGTTTTGCATGAAAAAATTTAAACGATTTTTTTTGATTTGAAATGCGATGTAAATGTAATACTAATCAATAATATATAATGACTACATTTGGAAAAAGAATCCCATGTTTTTAAAACAAAATTAATTAGCCTTAGCCTAACAAAAACTATTTTGATTTGAAATGGCCAGTACTGCAGAACGACAATTTCATAGGTAAACACCTAATATTAAGATTTCCTTCTTATGTGGTTTGGTTTGACTCCGCTAAAGGACATGTCGTGAACTCGATTCCTGCATGGAACAGTTCTTCGTTTCATCGTCATCATCATCATCATCAGACTATAAGTGCCTACTATTGAGCAATGGCCTCTTTTCGCACGAAGATGGTTCAAGCATTAATAACCACGCTTGCTCAAGGTGTATTGGTCATTTCAAACTTAAAATTAGAAATTATAGGTCCATTTATTAGTGGTATTTAAATAATCATAGAAAGTACAATATAACTCGAAAAGAGTTGGTAATTGCCAGGTTTTGTTGTATCATTACTATTCTGGGTCTAGGTGTAATGTATATGCGATTTTTTAAATTTGTAACCGCACTTAAGACATAATAAAATCTAAGAATATGGAAAGCCATATAATCTGTTTTCAAAATCTCAAATTATATTAAAAAGAGACCGATTTATGAACTCCTTTAGGAGGAGGAATTTAAGAAAAACGACGAACTCCCGTCTATCCAGCTCGTAAGTGTCGAAACCCCCTTACATAACTCTCCCACACTTCCTACATACAAATTGATTTACTTTTACTTAAATATTATACTTCAAACTGCATTGTTATTCAGCGAACTAATCCTATCACTAACTATGACGGGAAGCGGCGAAGGTTCGTTCAAACTCGATAGATAACCAATATCGTTGTGAAATTGGCCCATTCTCCTCTAGACCGCAGCCTGGCGTCCGGTGAAATGTCTATAGTACTTTCTGTTTGATACTGAGGTACATTCAAAGAGAAAATCTGAATTATAAAACGCGAATAAGTTGATTGTGATCCTCGTCCTTTTTACACTCCGATGGAAGTAGCAAACATAATCATCTTTTGAATGTAATGTTAATCTAATACTAAATCAGGCCCTGGCCTTGTGTTTTAACGTATATGTGAGATTACTGGAGGTTCGACTCTTATTCCTTTCCAATCTCTAATCCCCTCTCATCAATCCCTCATACCTTTCCAATCTTTTATTATGTTTTTAAGTGTGGGAGAGCTAAGTTTGAACACGAATGGATCAGCTTAACCGGAGTAGTAACACGGTCAGAAAAATGGCGTGAAGAAACCTTTCCCTTCCTTAATTTCTAAATCTTCTAAACCCTAATTCTCAAAAGGATGGCAACGCACAGACCGGGTCAGCGCGCAGACTGAAGACGCTCGCGTGCACCGTCGTCTCCAGAAACTAATATGGTGCCTGTGTGTGTGGGACGTATAGAGATGACGACCTAATGTAGGTACTTACATAGTTTGTTAAATAAGAAAAGTAAATAATTTGTTCAATAAGGTCGAATTTTCAATATCAGGTCTGGAACCAAGTATCTAATTTAACCTAGGATGAAAGTTTTAGTTCACAAATGATAGGAGTTCTTTCATCGTCCGGTGACGTAATAATTGATGGCACAACTTAATTTTACGCTCTGTTTTCTTCTTAACTCCGGTGAAAACATACGGTTTTATACTTATTCGTATTATTTCGGAGATTTTCAGATATGATATTCAGATCTGTCAAGAGCAATTTTTTGGTATGCATGGATCCGCTAGAGAGACGATCTCTGGCCACCGTAAGCGCGAGCCTACGGACTTCGAGTAAGGGTTGCTCGCCGCCCGACCAGAACCAGACCCAAGCGGACGGCGCGTAGCGTTCCGCGCGCGCCTCAAAGAGCCAATAGACCACCACAGACGGGGCCCTATAGGACTGATGTTTAGCCGGGATTGCGGGTTAAGCGCAATGAGCCACCGCGGCTCGGCACTTCGACAGGAGAAGAAACGAGGCGAGAGGAAGTATCAGACTCTTACTGATTAAAAACCATTCCATTCCTTCTCCTGCTCCAGGCGGAGGCCGCGGGACATTATAAGGCTTGCATCCGAAACCCCAGCTAAAACCAAATTTCTAGCTTAGTTTATAAAAAAATCCATATTCACTTGTTCAATGTAAGAATGAAATTGTAAATCACAAACCAATTATGTATTAGACATTAAAAAAGAAACGCGGAGGCTGCCTACGAAAGCCTGTAACCTATATTTCCACGCCTGAAGTGGAAATAAACGGCTGAAATGCATTTTTAATTCCCTCGCCACGCTTTGGGGAAAGAAAGTACTCCTTGGAAATAAATGGCAGCTCGTAAAAATCCATGAGGAATGGCCCTGAGTTCAGTACACAGTTCTGAGCATTCAATAAAGAAGCAAATTAAGTCGCTGCTTAGATTAGTCTAAATATTAAAAGAAATTATTTACGGTATAAAAAAAAAACAGAAAACCGGCGTGAAATAATCACAGCGTTGTGTTTTGCTGTGTGAGTGAGGTTACCGGAGGCCCAATCCTTCCCCTCCCTCAATCCCTCCTCAATCCCTAAATCTCCAAATCCCTAATCCCTAAAAGGTCGGCAACGCACTCGTAACTCCTCCGTTGCGAGTGTCCATGGGCGGGGCTGGTTGCTTAACATCAGGTAATCTGTCTGCTAGTTTGTCGACCTATTACATTAAAAAAAACACAAGATCACTTTAAGCAGTATAACGATGTAAGTAAGTTTAAAAAAGGCCAGCTGCCCCGACACCTTACCGCCTCAAAAAGTTTAATAATGACAGTTTTCCTCTTGACTTTCTTATGTCACTTACAGAGCAGTTAGTTAGGGAAAGAAAATTGTCGCTTTGAATATTTTACATGCATTTTTTTAAATTCTGACCGTTTTACCCTTCACTTGAATTACACAATAATCTCAAGGCGTAAATTTTATCTAAAGCGATCCAGTCATTTCAGAATTTTTGACAGACTATCAAGCAGCAATTAATTTTACATGACCATATTAATTCTTACCACTTTAACAGTCAACGCATTTTGGACCTTAAAAAGAAAAGTGTTAAGTGTTAATTTTAAAATAAACACCACTAATAGTACATAATCTTGAGACACAGCTTCCTCGACTCCTGGTATCGTTTGTTTTATTTGTGGTATACTCAGCTAACTGGCGGTACTCAAGTTCTCAAGCTACAAGTTCTTGCGGTCTCGCTAGCGGGTTTGGTCCAAATTGAGCGTTATATCGATAATCATACAATTATGCACCGCGGCCCCGACAACAAACGGTATTACAACGATGAGATACCCCGAAGGATACCGAACAGAAAACCAGCCCCG